AGTGCCTCTTAATTCTCTCTGTTCTGGTGTCACAGAAAAAGTTTCATCCATACCTCTGAAGCGTGCACTGGAGATGGTTAGGGACAGTGTGACTAGCTGTTGTGCTCTCTGCACTGGCTGTAGGTAGCTATGCATTATGCTGTTCTCATCATGGTGTGCCAACTTAAGGACAGCAGGTCTTCTTGTCTCTGTGCATCTTCCAGTTCCCTGTGTCTCTGTCTTGGGTTTCTAGCAGTAGAGGGATAGCTTTTCAGCTGAGCAAAGTGCTGCCAAGTGTCTCATTCGCCATTCTGTTGCTTTAGAGAGACAAATATGGATCAGGAACTGTATCTGCAGTCTTTCATGTATGTTTTCAGTTATTCTGACACTCTGCCTCTGCTAAATTAAGAGTAATGGAAGCTTGTGGTGCCATGTCTGAACGCATACTTCTTTGCAGCCTGTGTGAACTCCCGTGATGTCACTTGTTGGCTGTTGTCAAGGCATATCACTTTGTCAGGTGCACCAAGGAAGATGAGTTGCTTATAGATAATCAGCTATTTAGGGTGAACGCCAGATAATAAAACTGCCTCAGAAAAGCACGTATCAGACTGCAGGACATGTACAGACTTTTTATCACTCAACAGAAAAGATAACTAGGCCTCCCCTCCTTTTCGAAGGGCCTAAAGTTACCACTCTCTGTGGGTACAGTTCTTGTAGACTCTGTGCAGAACATGCCCTGCATGCTGCGTGCCAGCCCAGTTCCTTGGATACTCTGGAGTGTTTAAAGAGCCAGCTGAAGTTTAGGTAAGATGCATCAAGGTCACTAAAATGGCATTAAAAGGCAACTGAAACCTCCCTAAAGTGTCTGTGCTCTCATTGCAGTCCATGGAGACCTAGGGTTCAGTTCAGATGCATCTGGGTTGTCAGATGTGTCACAAGCCTTACAGCAGATCCAGATCTCTTTGGATTATCATCTGTAGACCAGGATATGTCACAGCACCTGGAATTATTTAGTCACATAGGTTTAGCAATGCCTTTTGATACATGAACATGCTCTTTTGACATGCTAGCCATCCTGCAATAAGATAAGGCAAACAAATCCTTCACCCAGCACATCTACAGTAGCATAAGGACGAATCATGGTCTAATCTGCATTTACTATTCTGACCAGGCTCCACTGAGAGTTTGGATGCTTTGCTTACACTTAAATTTAAGTATCTAAATTCAAGCTGTGTGCCAGTTTTGGATTCCTGTGATGGTCAAGAAAACACCATCTCAGCATGGAGTTTCAGCCATCACTTTTATTCCAGTGACTAGAACTATGTTGGTAGCACCACAGTGGCTTGTACATCTTTGTCCAACTTAAAAATGTTCCATTTACTTTCAGACTGTGTTGTCATTTTGGCAGCTGCGAAAGTGTTATCCTTCTTTGAAAAAATGCTCTGATACCATCCTTTGAACAATTTCTCTGGGCTAGTACTGTTGTTTCTCACTTTCTGTACACGCTCTGCTGCTAATTCCAGAAAAGTGGTCAAATATATTGGGCTTGTACATCTTTTTACTGACTCACTGTTACCAACTTACCTTTTGCAACAACATGAATGTAGGCAGTGCCTTCTGACGAAGTTTTTTGAACTCTGTTTTGGAACTATCTGTCTCAAGTCTCTTTTGTCTTTTGGTTCCTCTGTTTTGTGCTATTCTCTCCAATTTGTGGTCTATCTTGCATAGGCTTTGGCCTGCGAAGAGCAGTTTCCCTGGCTTTGCAGTTTCCAGTTTTACTGTCAAAGGTTAATAGTGGGTTTGTCCCAAATCCCAATAGCAAACTTGTCCTTTATCTATAACATTCATAAGTATTGTCTCCTCAGCCTTTAATTATTTACACTTATCCTGTCGATTTCTGAAGAGCTTTTTACTCTGTTATGAGCTTTAACTGCTGCATTTTTGCACTCAATGTTTTCTTAGATGGTGCTATTCATGCAATATGAATGTACCTCGCTACAGAAGACAAGTATGGCAAAGCAAACAGTAGCCTTTTGACAAGCTATAGAAAATCTGGGCTGACCATGACAGTTAACTGGAACCCAACAGCTGTTACCCCTCCTGCAAGGTGCAGGCATGGGTCCTAGCCAGGAAGCAGAGTAACCAGTTAATGAAAACTGCTCTAATCACTAGCTAAAGCTAGAAACAAATGGGGATTTTTCGCAATAGCATGAATTTTTCTTTTGGTACTGTTAAAATATATATTGTGGTAACATCATCAGGCGAGCATGGCTTTTCTGAAAATGTCAGCTGCTCTCATTTACGTTTAAACTAAAACCTGAAAATTAAAAAAGGAGGTTTTTTTCATTGTTAGCAGCCAAAAATCCATATTTTTAAAAAGTCAATTTCTCATTGTGTTTTGAAATGAAAATAATACTGCAGAGAGCATAAAAGACACAGGATGTAATGCTAATGGTTAATAAAATAGCAGTGTATTTCATTACTGTTCCTAATAAGATAATGACAGTGGTAAAAATGTTTTTCCGGTTCCACAAAAAGTAGTAGCTATATTTTAATTAGTAAACGTAAAATAACATGTAAAGTAACTAAAATATGCACAGATTCTTAAGAGTTTCTTTATAATAATGTGCTATTTTAACTCTAACTGAAGGTGTGTCAATTTACGTGTTTAATTTAGGCATTAATTACTTACAGGCTATGATGCACAATTTGTACTAGTCTTCTTGGATGCTTTAATGTTTCAAATGTTCATGTTTCAAATTACAAAAAGGACTGTTGGAATGATCTGGTGATTTCAAGGCCTGTCTAAGTATTGCATCCAGTTTGTCCGATGTTATTATAAGCCTTCAGGTACTTTTAACATTCATAAAAACAAGTTTTTGGAATGGAGAATGTCAATTTCAGTGAGGAAAAAAAAAAAAGCTTGTGTCTGGTTTGGTATCTCTTCTACTTGTTAATACCTGCACTGAGGGATCGGTGCCCTCTTATTTGGATAGCCCGTGGTGTGTACACCAGCCTGCGGCGGGTGGCTGCGGCAGCCCCGCTGTATATGCCAGGACTATGGGAGTTACCCCAGGGGCCCGCTTTTCCGGAGTGCTGTGCACGTGGTCATTTGGTTTCTGTACACCGGTAATCATGTATAATGCATATAAGAATGTATAATGCATATGAGCAATGTGAATGAAAAAGGTGAGAAATGTGAATAAAAGGGGTAAGAGCTGTGGGGGTTTTGTATGTGTTTCACAGTGATGAAAAAGATAAAGATGTGCATTGCTTTTGGGGGCCAGTCCTTAAATCTGTCATTTATTGTCATGCCTTCTTTGTTAATGAGACACCTTTTAAGGAAGGCAGACTTGATAATTTTTGGCCTTCACAGGTGCTATAAGAGCAGCATATCCAAGATGCAGGGAAAAACGGAACTCTGAATGTTTCCCAGTTAGAAAGAGGTTGGGAGAATACATCTGGGAGGGGTGTTCTTGCCTGTTCTCACAGCCTTCCCTAGGTATCTGCTGGTGCCCTTGCTTGGAGACAGGGTGACTTTAGGCTGACCCACTATGGCTGGTCTTGTGTTCTTACACCCTTATATACAACACAGTGAATTTATAATATTGATGATCGTATTAACTATATGGAATGTAATTAAAAATAGCTTGGAAAAAAAAGTGGGGTTTTTTTCAATTCCAGCAGAAAATCTGAGCCAGCATTGATGTGGTGGTCAACAGATGAAAATAAAGGGGTGATATTTTTGTTAATGACATATTAGCTGAAAGGTCACGACATGCGTGTAACGAAAAGAGCAGTTAGGGTATGCCATTTTACATGTGTCATGAAACTATTTAATGACACTAATATTTCTACTCTAGAATGTATTAAATTGTATCTAAGAAATGATACAGTGCTGTGCATGGATTCAGGCTAGCAAGATCCTCTATCCTGATCAAATATTTGGGTTTTAATAGGACTTCCCCAGGAAGTGGGATCAGCTTGCACTGATGCAGTTGCAGGGATATGGTCTGTTAGCTCCTAGACATTACCACATTTGGTATATAATAATGGTAAGATTTGAATAATGGGTAACGCAATGTTCAAGGCAGTTTTTACATGCAACTAGGTCACTTGTGTGCAGCCTTAAATAGGCATAACATGATATAAGCAGTGCTTACAGGTATCTTGAAAACAAAGATGTCACTTTGGAAGTTAAAATATAACTGCTATCATTATTCAGTGTTTTCGCTCTTGAGGAGAGTCATCTCCTCTTAAACACTATAAAGTCTTTTAGAAAAAGATATGAGTTTATTAAAAGCTATGATTTTTTCATGATGGCTTTAACCCAGCACAAGTAACATCACCTTCTTAATTATCCTTATAGCATCTTGATGAACTTGAAAGTAGAGATCAGATTACTGCATGAGGTTTTAAGTCCTTTCTGTTGCATTATTTAAGCAGAATGGAAATGCTTCTTTTGGATTTAAGTAAAATGTAACTATGAAAATAAATTCTATAAATCAAGAAACAGTGACATCTCACTGAAATTCTGCAAAGCTTGCTTGCACTGTTGTGTTAAAAAACGTGGTTGTATAACTGGTGGAGTGAGAAGTCAAGTGGCTCAATTATCTTTTTAAAGAGAACTTAAAGATTTTCATTTTTCTTCATAAAGATTTTGCAAAGTCACCACTTCCAAGACTGTTGCAATTCCATTTGTTCACAGGAAGAGATAAGAAGTGTAAAATAGATTATATCTGCAGAAGCTGTACATAATCCTAAAGCCTTCGCCTATCGTTATTTTAGCACCTTCAAAAGAGACATGGGCTGTAAAATCAGATTCACATTTCCATTTCTAATTGGAATTGACCCATCCTGGTTCAGTACTGTGTCAAGACTCAGATAGAGCAGAAAAAGTGATTATGAAAGAAATGGGAAATCTTTCACAGCTAATCATAGATTTTGTCACTAAAGCAAGTTCTTTATAACTGCGTTAAGCAAACGTGTATAGGTTACAGTCTGTGTTCTTGTTTCCACAGTGCATACATTATAACAGACTTCATGGGTATCAGGAATGAAAATTTTATGAAGGTTGCTGCAGTTGGGACTTGGATGGGAGATTTTGTCACAGCATGGATGGTAAGAAACATAATATTACATTATAATGTAATATGTTGGTTTAATACTTTCTTGAAGTATTCAAGTATTTAAACTAGACAAGTAGAAAGTTAACAGAGGCAAAGCAGCATAATGGCAGGGTGTTTAATTAGCTGGGAGTCCGGAAAAGTTTCAGTTAAAATGTATCAGAGCAACAACTTCATTTCTTCTGCTGTGATTGGGAGTGTTGCCGTTGACTTTTGTGAGGACAGCACAGTGGCGCGTCTTTGCTATGAAATAACATCATTACTTGCTATGTGGTTGAAACAGTGAGTAGTGACTAGAGATAAACAAGTCTGATGCAAAGGATTAAAAAAGAAGAAAAAATAACTGAAAGATGTGATAAATAATGATAGAGATGAGAGAAAAAAGGCAAACCAGTTACACCTCAGACTTTGAAGGTAGTCTGTTTGAAGTGAAATGATCAGATTGAGTTTCTCTCTAATTTAGGATTTGGAAGAATAAAGTTTTACAGAAGATTAAATGCGTTTATGAAGCTGCTTTTCACTTGAATTACAGTTGTTATAAAGGTTCTCTGCTGAAATACGGGCAACCCAAAGATCAGCTTAGTGAAAGAGATCCAGAAAATGATAGCTAACTGGGAACAAAATGAAGCATGTGCACGTGTTTTTATTGTTCAGGAAAAGCATTTCTTACATACAAAGTGATAAAAAGTGAATTAATTTTCTTTTTTTTTTTAGTAAGTTTAGTGTAAGTAAGAATTTTAACAATTATGACTGTGACATTAGTAACTGAAGTGAGAATGACATTCATTTAAATTGGGAAAGGAAGTCCATGACTTTGAAGCTTGCAGAATAGGTTTTAATTAATCTAAATTAATTTTTTTCTAACGATTCACTGATACCTCTGTTTGTTTACTCAAAATAATCAAGATAATTTTAGAGGGATTCATTAACACAAGGAACATTGCCTGATGGTGAATGTTTATCACATATCACTTACACATGGACGGAAATTATTTCAGCACTGTGTGTAGCTAGTGACTGCAGTAATCTCTGATGTAAGCAAACAAGCCAAGGTGGATGAATTTTAGGACTGTGGTATGTGTTGGGAGAAAACACTATAGGAATAGTTTCAAGCAAGAATGACTGTAAAATGCTGCGAGTATAGTCTGTAAAACTGTAGGAATAGTCTTAGAAGGGTCATCTGAGTTTCTATCCTCCACGTAATTAGAACATACTGTACAACAGGCAGAAGGAAAAAAAAAGCATCAAGGATTTTTTCAGCATATTGTTCAGTATGTGTCAGTGGTTTGTCTGAGACAAATTATGCTCTGTGAAAAGGTGGCCATGAAAAGCAAGTATGGAGCAAGTGATCTGTACATATATTACAGTAAGGACATTGCAGAATTGGTGCATTGACTCATGTTGACAATTAATGTGGATTTCTTGTGAATCCGTAATAAAATTCGTGGGTAATTCTGAATATCTTTAGTTTAACCCTTTTTTTTTTAATGGGCTTCCACAGCTTCGTCCCACGGTGGGAGGAAAGATGATGCGTAAGCTGAATTGAGAGGGGTCATGTTCTGCATACATATGTGACTTAGTGCTCCAGTGACAGATTACATACAGGTTGCACTACATTAGTATAGTTTCATTTTTTCAGTCCCTCTTTTCTCATTTCCTTGAAAAAAACCTCTTACATGCAGCACTGTATAAAGCATGGAAATGGCTGGATTCAAGAGGCGTGAGAATCCTAATCCTTTTCTGTGTGCTCACAGCCCTCTCAGGTCTTTTCAGCGATGGAAGCAAAACTGGATTGTGCCACAGCAGATTCCAGTGGTGGACAGAGTTATCAGAGAAGAACGGGAGAGAGACTGGGAGAGACTGCGGAGGCAGTTTGGAAAGGGGAGGTGCTTTGCAAACTAGGGTGGTTCTGTTAGCTGTCAGGAAGAGCAGAGGACATGGGATTGGAGGGTCAATGTGGTTTAGGGCATGCTTTGATTGCAAGAGGAGAATTCAAGGTGTGGTGATTGGTGTTTAGATCCTCAGAGCGAAAGAGGATAGTGAGATTGCTTCTGCAATGCAAATCTCTAGGTAAAGTGTATGAATCAGTCAATGGAAATTACCGTGTTTAAGGGCAGCTGAGCCTGGCAACATCGAAAAAAGCTACGTCAGGCAGAGAGGTATTAGTAACAGAGGAGAGTGGACATGTACATTGGTGCATGTGCATGTACATTGGTGAAAACCTCCCCCTCAGCCTAAGTTTAGCAATCTTACTCTATATGAACAAAAATTATCATGTAGTTTACAATATCTGAATTTGTTTGACTTTCTGCATGTCAAGCCCAGCATGGAAATTGAAGGTTGTTGAGCCTGGAGAAGAGAAGACTCTGGGGAGACCTTATTACAGCCTTCCAGTACTTGAAGGGGGCTTGTAAGAAATACGGGGACAGGCTTTTTAGCAGGGCCTGTTGTAATAGGACAAGGGGTAATGGCTTTAAACTAAGGGAGGGTAGATTCACAGTAGATATGAGGAAGAAATTTTTTACAAAGAGGGTGCTGAAACACTGAACAGGTTGCCCAGAGAGGTGGTAGATGCCCCATCCCTGGAAACATTCAAGGTGAGGTTGGACGGGGCTCTGAGCAACCTGATGTAGTTGAAAATGTCCCTACTCATTGCAGGGAGGTTGGGCTAGATGACCTTTAAAGGTCCCTTCCAACCTAAACTAGTCTATGATTCTGTGATTCTATGAACTGATATCAAACTAACATGAGTCTTCTCTGGGATTATTATATTTTAAGAAGTTCTCCAATCCTTTTTGGAAACAGGAAGTAGAAACCAAACATGTAAAGGAACCGTTGCACATCTTCCTATTTGCAGCAGTGCTTATATTTTCTAGTCACAGAATCACAGAATGGTCGGGGTTGGAAGGGACCTCTGTGGATCATCGAGTCCAACCCCCCTGCCGAAGCAGGGTCATGTAGAGCAGGTTGCACAGGACCTCATCCAGGTGGGTTCTGAATATCTCCATAGAAGGAGAATCCACAACCTCTCTGGGCAACCTGTTCCAGTGCTCCATCACCCTCAGAGTAAAGTTCTTCCTCAAAGAAGTCACCCATCCTTAGACTGCAAAGAAGATGAAAAAGCAGATGTAGCCTTCAGTTCAGTGTATTTGAACCATACTGAAATTAAGATCTTATTCCCTATTTGATTGGAAACTTTGGAAATAAGGAAGAATAAAGCAGTACAGATGGGATTCCATTTTAAAAATGGCTAATCAATAAACAGTCATATTGCCTTAGTACAGCAAGGAGAGGCTTATTAAATCAGGGAAGTGATTGAAATGGGAAAATATGTTTTGGATTGCTGTTTGTTTTGGGTTTAAAAGGCGGAATTGAGCCTTCCACCTCAACACTTCCTAGCTCACTGACTAGTCTGGTGACAGGGTCTGACTCAATTCCTAATAAAATCAGCAATATGCTTTCCATTGTTAGTAGTGAGAATGGGACCATGCTATGGGTGCAGAGGAGCTTCTCCTTTATACCTTTGGGGAGAAACTTCTGCTACTAATAATCGTCTTTGCTGAAATCTGTAGTAAGTGTTAGATGTTCTAAATAAGTCTATGAAGAGGGGTTGTGTTCAGTACACTGTCTCTCTGCAGTTTTTCCTCTTTGAAGCCAGGGAAATATATTCTGCATCTGCTTTGACATGCTTTCCTGCTCTCATAAAATGTGCATTCTGTTCTCATGGAGAGTGCTTTTGAGGCAGACACCACGGGACTTGGCACAGTAGAATATCTTTGAAAAAAGGTTGGATTCCACCCAGACACACCTATAAACTAGCAATTATGGCCTGCTTCTGGAACAGTGTGAGCAGGCTGAGGAAGGGGCTGATTCCAGGGTAGAATCTCTGATGATTAGAGTCGGGTGGCCTCTGGACCCTCTCTTTAAAAATGAACAACCTGCTGCAACTGTGTTTTTGAGGAGGACGAAGTCCTAAGCATGTGTGGTGAGGCATGCTCTCAGAGTATACCTGCAGGGGTGGATTGCACTGAACATTGACACAGAGGGCAGAGTATAACCAGAGCCTCCTCTCTTCTTTACAGCCTCCTGGTGAGGTGAACAGCCTGCTATCCTCCTTCTTTCCAGGCACTGTTGGCTCTCAGACTGCCAAAACTCTTGTTCTCCACTTTAGGTGATGGCTTTGTGGACTCTCCAAAGATTACATATTCACCCTATGCTATGAATGATACTCGTACCATATTGCGAGATTTGCTTACCAACTGCCATTGCCATTTATATTAAAGACATATCCCTGCCTACAAGCCCTACGTACATGTGAAAGAGACTAAACAGTAGACGTTTGTTACATCTTGCTTAGACCTTGCTTGCTAGGATTATCAGAAGCTGAAGCAGTCAACTTCAGCCAGAGGCTAGCACTAATCTCTATGAATGTATCGGGGGCTGTTCCTCTTGACAAAGGATCGTGTTCCCATTGACCTTCCTTCTGAAAGGTAATTTAATTGAGATTCCCTTTTCCCTCGTTAGTTGCTGGAGGGAACTGAGAATATTTGAGAGATCACTGAGCAGCAGAGACTCCGCTGGCTCACATCATCAGAAACAATGATGAACTCAAGGGATGGTTTAGTTTATTAATCATCAAACTAGTATTTATCAAATCTGTATCAGCATGTTCTTTTTAACAAGAAGCCAAGAATTCTGGCTGCACTGTGCTTCAGCACAGTACTTGGCATAATGTCTTAGAATGTGAGATGAATCATTGTCACAGCTCCTGGCTGTTCTTTCTGACACCTTCACTTGACTTCGGTTTGACTCTTCCCTCGCTTTGAACCATGAAGACTCCCACGACCACTTCTGTCTTTCATCATCTTAGCAGAGGAATTAGTAGGAAGTTATGAAGTAGTGCATCCAGCGTAGTCTGGATGGAAGGGTGATAGGTCACCACTTGTTCCACTGACCCCTTATCCAGGACTGACACAGACACATCGTATCCACTTG